ATTTTTCAACTTGCAGAAACACCCTGTGTGTCCTGAAACCTAATGCACTAGAAAAAATACTAGCAACTTAACTTACAGAAACAAAATAATGTGCAAAAAACCAAACAGTGGCATCTATATTCATGCAGACAGATAGAACACATTGCCTTTTAAACACTGATATTACAAAGTTACAGGCTTCTTTAAAAGTATATATAACTAAGCTGATATCAATCTTTAAAGTAATCATGCTTTCAGTGCATTCTCAACAGTAATATTCTTAAACAGTGTTTCGGAATAAACTCAAAAAGCTGGAGTGAATTTCAAGGCTTGAGTGCTGCTGCCATCTACATGGCAGGAAGACTATAAACTAAAACAAACAACAAAAATGTGTATATTGCGTTTACTGGGCAGAGCTGTAAGTCTGTTTGCCAGTGTGATTATAGAAAAGCTCTGAAACTGAACAGAATCTTTTATTACCCCAAGTTCCTGTGTGGAAAATTCATAATGGTTTAGAGTACAGTTTCCCCAGGTTCTTATTATCAAGAAGATTACACATTATTTAGATAAAATTTGAGAATAAATAAAGAAAAATAGAGAAAGTAATGTACTTAATGAAATTATATATACTACTTAATCCAGTGATGCTATTTTTCAGAGCTATGTTATTGAGAGTATTGCCAGAGGAAGAAAAACAGTTTTTATCCCTACGTTTGCAAGACACAATGTAAATTTGGGCTGCACAACTCTGCCTTCTCAAGCTAAGCTTTCTAGAAATACATGAAAGAAAAAGATAAGTGCAATTAATCTGTACTGTGTAAGAATTTCATCAAATGCACAGTCCACTCTCAAAAACTCCGTAGATGTTTGTTAAGTTTCATAATATTTAATTTTGTTTAGCAACTTGCACTGCTTCACCTTGACAACTACATTTGTACGTACCCATCACACCATACCCAGGACACTCAGATTCATAGGAAGACGGGGAAGGTAGTCTTTACGTGACGCGCTTCTGTCCTGCAGCACAGCTCTGGGACACACTGGACGTTCCAGCAGGTGTCATTCAAGAAACAAACTTCCCATGGTCCCCAGTAAGACAATCCTGGGTTATTGTGTGAATTTTATGTTGTATCCAAGTCCAGTATTACCTCTTCAAAAACAAAATCCATGAATTTTCACTTTGGGGATCTGCAAATTCAAATTATAACCCAACTCAAACTCTAGTAATAATTCTAAGAGTTTTGCCTAGCAGTCCAGACTGCATGTCCTATGAGGAAGGAAAAAGGGGAAGACCAGTCCTTGAAATTCCTCTCCATCCTTTTCCCATGCAAGAATGGCCTGTAAAATTCAGCAGAAATATCCATTGCGAGAAGCAAGACTTTGTCTTCACTGATCGCCCACCAGGAACGTGCGTGCAATGCTGTGTTCAGCACTGGCACAGCAACTAAGATTTGTGCTCACCGCCCTCGCCTGCCTTCAGAGAACACGCTCTTTCAAAAGGTGTAAAAACCTGGAGAGAGGTAATGCTGCTTATTGCACCTGTCCCATCCTTTTTTGAATTTTCGACACTAGCTCAGTCAGACTTGCAAAGTCACTTCCCTCGCTCGATTTCTGGTGTTATCTGGAGCTTGTAGCCCTGTTACATAGTGGTTTTGTTAAAGTGTGTCTTTTTTTTTAAAGAAACACTGAACCTTATACACATATTTCAAATTCCATGCCAATTTGCTTTCAGAACATCTTTCACTGGATTGGGGAAGAGCATTGCTCAACAAAATACAACCCAAAAATGGAAGCAGTTGATTTCAATCATCAAATTTAAAATATGTAAATAGCACAAGAGATTTCAAAATATAATGTTTGGATTTGGAGCCACAAATGAACAGTTCAAAGTTTAGGGATGTTTCCAGGCAGGAATCTATGTCAGTGACCATATGGCAAGTATGAATCATTTGGAAAACTCAAAATCCCTCAAATCAAAGAGACATCAATGAGCTTTGGTTTGGCTTATACTAAAGGTTGTGTAACTTCCTTTTAAATTTTTTTAAACAATATAATGAATTATGCACATTATGTAAAAAATACCTATAGGATTTGAAAGATGAAAATCTACTTTCAAGAAAGACCCCTGCACATAGCACCCCAAAACTTCAATTTCGTGCTGAGACAATGCTGATGTACGTGTGGCTTGTCCCACACTTACATGGTACCTCTGCCTTCTTCCTACCCTGGCTTGCTTGTCCCTCCTCTGCTCGTTGCACTGACATGGCCTGGTCATACAAGTGCTAGTGCAAACGTGAGTGAGGAGACATATGGCTGGAGTGGGGAGAAATTGCCCTGACTATGAAACCACAGCTTAAGCCATACAGTTTATTGGACCCAGTGACTTCTGGATGAAATAAAAAAGACCTTGCTCCTTAAGCAGTTAGGTATTAATGAATTTTTTACCCCATATCTAAAATTTAGACAACTACTCTTAAACATTAGTATATTACTCCCTTTGGCAGGATTCCTTCATATATTCTTAATTACTTTGCAACTTCGTTGCAAAATCAATCTCCGTAAGCATGAATAGTGGTACATCTGACTGCGTTAGTGTAGAAATGTTTCTTCAGTTATGGCTTACAAGAAATAACTGCAGGAGGTTAATATGCATTTTTGTATATAGCTCTAAAATTGTCACTTTGATGCAAAAAGATTGTTCCAAGCAAGAGTTCATCTTGAGCATATACTGTAAAGTTGGTTGTTTGAAAGACATCCAGACCACATGGTAAATACATTGCTTTACGGGGACATAAATGTACCTAATAAAAAAAGTTCCTGTCTTACCTTACTGATACTGTAATTATAATCAGTACAAAGCACGCATAAGCATGTGCCAAACACCAATCATCACTGCACAAACCATTCCAAGGGGCTGTCTCTATTGGCAGTCTGCTGATGTGCACTGCTTTGCAGAATTAAAGACAAGCAATCAAATATTGTGTTGCACAAATGTAATTGCTACTACAGCAGTACTGGGTGTTACAGACAATGCCAATTCCTTGAGCTATGAGACCTCTTTGAACACACCAGTTTTTAAAGCATCTAGTAGAAATAGTTTTAAGGGGATTTGTTACCTTGGCACTAAGAACAGAGTTGGCCCAAGAGAGCAGATGCTGATGCAAAGCAGTAATGTTCGTTGTGAAGGGAAACGGACTTTTCAATGCCAATGGAAGACTACTGCAGCAAACTAGAGGTGACTGTTGACAAGGACACGTGGCAAAGGAGATAGCAAGGTCCATCCTTTATTTGCCGTTTGTTCTACTGTCTGCAAGGTTCCTGTAGTTATACTAGCAATTTTTACCTTCTCGATGTTTGCAACTCTGATTTAATCATAAAAGTTAAGAAGAGGATGTATGTGAGCTGGAGACATGTTCTGCTCTCAGTTGTGTTAAATAAGTCGATGAAATTATTCCAGACATCCAGCACAATAAGAATGAAGCCATAACACTCAACGTCCAGTTTAGTCACCTTAATTCAAATGCAAGCTTACATAAACAAAAGATATGTTTTAGATAGGAAAATGCTTTCTAAGAATAAGGAAAGTTGTTTCCGAAAAATACCAAATGTGCAAAACCCAGTGACTCTTCTGTTAAAAGATATCATTTTTCTGCATGTTGTTTATAATTACAGAAAAATAACATTACATATCTTTATCTTTTCTGGATTGCAGCCTGTTTTAATGACTTATTCTTCTGTTGAATAAAAACTGAAATACTACTTCTCAGAAGGCCCTTCCACCCAATGTTTCTGAAGACCTTGCTGCCGTATGCTGCACTCGGAGATACGGGACTCATCGGATATAAAAAAGCAGAAGAAAGAAGGTTTCATGTCTGTTTCATGTTTAATCAAATTCACGCCATAGTATGGCAACAGAGACCTGGTTTTGTCACTCCTGCAGCCATGACATTTCCCCACAAGTAAGAAAGAGATTAATTGCCGGAGAATCTTCCCACACTGAAGAAATCTTCACTCTCCTAGTTAAGGCAGCTTATGGCTAACGTGACAATTAGGAAGGATAACATCAGACCATGATTTCCACCATAAGATACAGATCCAGAAAAGCACATTCTCAAGTCCCTTTGACTTCATTAGCACTCTGACTATTGGTAATGCAGAAAGTGAACTTACTGCTCTGAGTGGCCATTCTTTGTCAAACCAGCATAAATCCCCCAGAACGTTAGGTGATAAATGAACCTAATAAGCTGCAGATATTCTCCAAACATAATGATATATTTTTTTAAAAGACAAAAACGTATAGCTGCTTTTCCCAATGAGCACAAATAGAAATTCAATGAAGTATGTCATTTCAGAAGAGGACTCCAATGGGCTTCTCCAACTTCATATTGGTACTACATTTCTACAGATGATGGTGATGGCAGTATTTACAGAAACAGAAAATTTACATGCTAGACATGACCAGATTTATAATCAATTTCCCATGTTGTCTTGTGCACACAACATTCTTTATAGTTGTTTCCAAATATTCCATGTTTAATTCAAAATGTGCATTTTCCTTTAAATGCAAACAAATTTTCAATTATTTCAAATGCATTTAGTTTTGCTCAGTGTTAAAATGTTATTGGTAATAAAAGTCAGAAGGAAGGAGAGAGAAAATTAAAATTTGATGTATGTAAAGGAATATTAAAATTGGTGCAAAGATTTTATGGTCAATCAAAGTTCTAAGATTTGAGATCACTACATAAACTAGTGAAAAACATTTAAAAATAGATGATATTTTCTATGTTAGATCTATCTAAATTTAACTGAATAAACGTAAATCTATTAGTGATGGAACTGTGAATTGAAGTCAATAAATCAGCAAAAAGAAGCTGATCTTCTGGAAGGTATTTCTTCTGAAAGTGGACTGTTAAAGATATACAATAATAAACACAACGAGCCATTTCAAGTCCATGCCACCTGTGTCCTATTTCTTGGCTCTTCTTGTGCATCTTCTAATTCTTCCGGCTAAGCAGGGTTTTCTAACACACCTTACAGGAGCACACCTTAGATATCCAGGGATGTGGCTTCGTGTCATCTGGAAAAAAAATGTATTCATCTGGCTCAGTGATTTTACAGTTTGAAGTAATAGGCAAGATTCTGGTGTGTTTTTTTTTTTTTTAAAGTTATTTTACAACCTTTTTATAGAGCAATAAACACTATACTTCTTGTAATGGAATGAAAACTTTCAGTACCAACATGTGTTAAAACGTATTACAACTCTACTTCCAGAATACTGTTTACATTATAATTGCTATACTACAAGAGGCAATATGGAACCCAAAACAGCCCAAAAGAATGTACTGTGTTTCTCAAAACTTTTCTCCTGAACAGCCTTCTCCTTCCTTTTTGTTTTTAGAGGAAAACATTCCAGTGGATCAGCAGAAAGATAATTTCTATTTTAAATTAACATATTGTTTATGTTTCCTCTGCAAATATAATTTTCAAATTATATATATTTCCTTTCAGCAGAACTAATCCTACAATAGCTGTAAACAGAATTGATAGGAAGTTACACTAATAAGGCATTATATTTTAATTCTGTCACGTCTTCTTAGAATTCCACAGAAAAGCACTCTCAATCATCCATTTTTAGCTTCATGATTTCTTCTTATTTGATGTATGGTAACATTTACAACCTGAATTTTAAATGTTACTTGTATTAGAAACATTGCTTAAACAGACACAACACCTCTCATGAGTACCTGGACATTGAGAAAGGAGCACACACTATCCTTTCCCAGTCTAATGGATATCTTGTATATTTATCATACTACCTATCATCTTTCTATCGTGACACGTCTATCTGTGTCATGGACACAGAGAGGTACACATTTTCTTGATGTCCACTATGTAGTCTTCTGGTTTTACAATTTGATTTACTACTTTAAACAAAACCAAACCTATGAGTCATATTACTAACCCAGAATGCTGATAGGATGTGACACTGCACCTACTGCAGTGAAATTCTTATGGATTCATCTGTGCCTACATTGGAAATTCCAGAAATACTTTCTGGAATAATTCCTAGGCATTAACATTTTATAAGCGGTCGCTGAGCAGTATGGGCTGTCAGTGCCTCTGATCAGAGGGCTGCTCCGGCGTTGCATCCTGTTCCTGCTTCATGCATCATCATCATCATCATCATCAACTTCCAGTGCTCCATTCCCAAATCAGTCCTCATTTACTGCCACCTACTTTTCATGATGATGCAAATACAGAAAAAGAAAATCATGCTTTTCTAGGGTGCTTCATACCAGGAAATCTACTGAATATTTACTTTCACATTCTGCCTGTGTACTGATCAACAGCCATAAAGGTGACACAGTGCTGATTTAAGTAACATACTCTCAGTGGCTGGAACTTGGAGCTGGTAAGTGAATATTCGATAGAGTAATTATAGCTTGCCTGATAACAAGATAGTCATGATTTTAGTGCTGTATTTTTAAGCACACTGTGGCTAATAAGAATCTGTTGTTCTTGATGCATGTCCTCATTCTCATATCTATTTGCTGCCGTTCTCTCACAGATGGTATTTCAGGGACAGTCAGAGATCTTTCCCATCTCTGTGCCAAAGTCTATCTACAACAAGCAACTAAGCAAGACTGTGAAAACTGCTCAGATTTTCACTATTATCTGTTATACACCCAGAATAACATTCTGTCCTGAAAAGTCAAGAAACGAAGAGGGAAAAAATTAATATGGGCAACGTATTTGGAATGAAGGGATGGGATAGATCATGAGCTGCAGAAGGGACCAGTTGACTCAGGCAGAGACTGTCTGGCTACTGAAGGCCATAAACATATAAGGTTCTTGCCATTTACGTGGTTTTCATCCAAAAGATAGAAAACACTCTGTAATTTCTGTCTACAGCTTCCACCTCAATCTTCTGTTAGGGAGGCTCCATTTCCCTCTATTACCAAGTGAAGCAACAGTCTATTGCCTAGTCTACTGCAATATCTCTGTTGGGGGAAATAAGAGGCAAGGGGCATCTGTGCCTACATTGTTTCTCATCATTTCAGCCCAAATCAATTCCTTTCTCTCACAGGAGCTATACTTGCAGAACCCTCCTTAGTGGGATTGCACCACATATGAAATTGAGGACATCTCAAGTTGTGTCAAGTCCTGCTACATTCCTCTTAGATCTTGACTGACAAAATTCAGAGCATTTTCATTCCCCTTAAAACCCATTTCAAGCAACTCCCTTCAGACAAAATGAAATGTCCCCTGGAGGTGTGAATTTTCCACCACTGTTTGTACAAGAAAACTTGGGTGAATACCTCAGACCTACAAGTCTAACTTACATATCCATATTGACTCAGTTTCAGCCTTTTTCTCAGTTTCTCTGAATGTGGAAAATTTGTCTGATAAAATGGAAAACACTGCTGGGAATATTTATTTATATTAAAGTAGTACTCTAAGGGTTAGTGAATTCTTTACAGGGGCTTTGATACGAGTCAAGTTCTAAAAAAATCTGTTGTAATTCTTATCTGATTATTACGTTCAAGGCCAGAGCAGAGACAAGTTTGAAAAGCCAAGGCTTTGCATGTCAAACAGAAGTAGTCCTCAGCATGTGGGGAAAATGGCAGTGATAAACCTACTATTAGGCATCTGGGAGAGAAACCCAGCATGTCCTCTGTGTGTGGGCTAAAATAGACATGAGCCACTATCACAGATAATGGCAGCTTGTAGGCACACGAAGGGAGCAACTAAAATCCATTTCACTTAGACAAGAAACTGCAGTCTGATATTTACCTGTGTCCATCACATGTGAAAAGTGTTTGCTGTGAATTATCCAAGAGAAAAGTGGAGGTTGAAGGGTTTCATTACCTATCTGAGAGTAGTTCAGATCACACATTGAACACAAGAAATCACAGGTAAATCTCAGATTGGTGTCTTGGGTAGTCAAATGGATTCCTGCTATTCATCTGAGTATATGCCTTTTTCTACAATTGCTGGAGGCCCACATCCAGAGCAGTGAGAACATGTGCAGACACATAGAAAATGTGAAAGTAAAATAAGCAGAGCAAGCTTTATGTGATTTAGAAAATTAAGATCACTTTGAAAATAACTCGGTCTAATGCCAAGGTTAGAGACCATTTCTTTCACCATTAGAAAACACAATGCACAGATAGGTCTGCTAACGGCTGCTCTGTAGTCTTCCTGATTCTGGTAGAAGTTGTAATAAAGAACCCTTTCTAGGAATAGTTGGAATTCCTTGCAGGTATATTGTCATATTTTCACCTTTTCCTCATCAGAGGAGATAATAAAATCAATATATTTCTTAACATCACTGTTGCACATATGACAGCATACTGCAAGTGAAGCACAAGAGATTGCAAAACACATATATGGACTTTTTAATAAAAACTTATGAATGAAGTTCATAAGTTTGCCCAGACTTTGAATATGTGTGAGAGAGATTCTAAAGTCACAGATTTCACCAAATCAAATGTTGACCTCCCAGGCACTCACAAATTCCAAGAAACAGTTCCAAGTTAAAGCTCCTGAGAAATACTAGAGAAAATCATAGCCAACTGAACGTCATATTATTGTTTCAATGTTTGCTACTAAAAGTAAGTGGTAAGTTTTAAGTAAATGTATTGTGTTACCAAATCTTTCCTTTCAAACAAGCAGTTCTGTCAGAAGTGTCTTAATTTCTTATCACAGAATTTCATCCGCACAAGGAGCAATAAATAATTCATGTTCCTAGCTCTTTGTTGTGTGTCCCTGAACTGCACAGAGCTGGAAGGCTGACAGCTGTGTCAGGACAAGCACCAAAGATCTGACATGACAAGTGACTAACAAGTTTCTTTCAGTCTATAGTGAAAGAAGACAATGGCATAAAGTGCAAAAACGAAATCCTGAAACAAAATGAAACTGTTTCTTTCTCTTTACCTAAGTGTTTGCTATGAGCTTATTTCCGACCCATAACCTCTGGTCATTTTATAGTACTGCCCAACCCCCTTTACTCCTCACATTCGCCTGGCCATTTACGCCTGTCCACGGATCAATATGAGCAATTCTTGGAGAAATACGATGTCTCCATGACAACCAAGCCACAAATTCTCAGTGGAAAGCTGTGAGACCAGTAGTGAAATCTCCTGAGGTTTTCAGACCTATAAGACAAGATGTCTTAAAATGCAGGAATGGACAGAAACAAAAGCCAGAGTAATTCATTGTTTATTACTAGTTTAATGATGTCAGTTGGACCGAATGGAACTCAGTTTTTAAGTTTAGATGCTTTATCAACATGTATTTTTGCCAGTCAATATTCACCTCCTGACAGGCTTTTATTCTTTCCGTTACTTCATATAGATATGCAGAGTGCAGAACTGGATATTCACGTTCCCGTCCAAACCTGTATACTTTGCCACACAGAATTAATTAAAATTAATCTTATTTTTAAGGAACATTAATTCCCACCTGAACACTTTAGTGCCACCTTATTGTAATTCTTTCTTACTTCCGTACAGATCAGAATTTAGACTATCCACATTTTTTGCCTATAATCATTGTTGAAGGGACTATAGACAGTTTCTGAAGGAGGTGCCACACACCACAGATTGTAGGTGCAGTAAGGAATTAAACTTGGCTCCTTCCCGAGTAGATCATCTATTTCTTTCTAAATCTCATGCTGGTTTCTGCTGTACAGCGTTGAGCCCAAGCCTATGTGGCTTTAAAATGAGTACGGATTTACAATTCATTGAACGCATACTGGTGTTCATTTCTGTGGAAAAGATGAAAAGGGAATGTAGTTCAAATCAGGTATATGACAGCGGTTGAACTCCCAAGGAATCTTGGAGGAGTGGAGTATGCTGAAATATAATAGCCCAGACATGGGTCCTATCTGGGTTCTGAGATGACTTCGGGGACCTGACACGGATTTCAGACTGCACCCTTTGACTGAAAATTAAATCTCAGCAGCGCTCCTTGGGGAAGGATCAGGGGACCGCTGGCAGCTGCCCCCTGTCAGCACGGGCTGCAAGATTTGGAAATCTCTTAACTAAGCTGACAGGCCGCAGAGACGATGAATCAAAAATATGATACACGGATCAGCACACAAAGATGCAAGAGGGTACGCAGAAACCAGATAAAGCAGGGAAGGAAAATACCAAGTGAAGAAAGATGTTTAACTCTTTCACTAATGAGGACTACGTGCAGGTTACGTATATGGTGTATGTGGGTCAAGCTTACAGTTTGCTTCAAAGAACTTCGTATTTAGTTGCACAGAATGTTTTTAATCAGCTGTGACTCGATACACTTTATATTTAATTGTTTCCCTTTGGGATTCATTTAATAAATTTCATAGATGTTCCATAACGAGAAAGATAATGAAACTACATGAAGATAAATCTTTTAGTCACCAAAAAGAATGCACTTTATGGATGTTCCTGTATTTAGCTGAATCAATGTTAAGAGCCATTAAAATGAAATAATGATTGTGAGCTGATTTAAAGAAAAGAATCAAGCTATTTAATGCTACCAATTTGCTATCCTCCAGAGATACAGTGTTTGAATGTCCGCTGCTACATTCAACTGCAGCATATACAGTCCTAATTTTTCATAATCTCACGCCACCTTCAAAGGGTCAGACATTGTACATATATTAAGTAAGCAGTGTAGTCCAAAACTAATTATAATGAACTAGTAGTGTCAGCTTTCTTTTTGGTCATAAAGCCTTTATCCTTTCTAAGACCTGAATTCTTGATGAAAGAGGAAAGGATAACAGCTCCACACTGTGACCCCTGGAGGTGACCATTAATTTGACATTGCAGCTGCTAAGAAGGAAACAGCATTACAATGTGCTTTTCTTACAGAACCAAAAGCTGTGTCAGATTTATCACTTGATACTTGGTGACTGTCTTTAAATGCCTCTCACCTGGACTCTCAGACTCTTCCAAGACACATCTGTCAGGCGTATCCTCTGCATCTTGGAAGTTTGCCGAGTTTGAGTTCTTCTCATGCTTCAGCACACCGACTGGAGCAATAAAGAATAAAAACAGGGGGAGGGAGAAATGTAATGTATTCAGAAACAAACACTTACTGATTTTCTGCAGAGCTTTCAATACTGAAGACATAATTTGTAAACACAAATAAAAGACTGAAATAAAACAGAAACCCAAAGTACTTTTATGCAACCGTAGCACAGTTGGAATATCTATAGACAAGAATTCATTCAGGGAGAAGTTTGAGGCATTGGCTTAAATGTGATCCCTTTGAAGTTAAGAAAAAAAAAAATTCTTATAGAATCCTAAAATAATAGAACAGTTTAGAAGCTGCAAAAAGTGCTTGTCTGTTTCACCAAAGAAGCCAGTAAACAATATAAAAGATCAATTAGGTGGTTTTGTAATTACTGGAATCATTCACCAGGGAGAGAAATGGTGTTTGTTTTAAGATGAAAATATGTTGTATGTAACAAGCTAGAATGTGTAATACAATTAGTGGTAATTCCAAAGTGCAGTAAAAACCAGTCTGAGTTGCAGTTTAGGGATTACCAAATTTGATTTCTTCTTTTACTTAATTGCTAAAACATTTTAATTTCAGAGCAGGAAAATATTTCTATGGAAACAATTATTTGTCTGTGTAGGACTTTTTAACTCACTTGGCTTTTGAACAAATCCCACAAAAGTTTTCCTGAATAGAGAAGAGACATTTCCCTTGTCAATGCCCACTTCCCTCTCTTCTGCTCCATATCTCCATATGGAGCCACAAATATAGCTTGAAGATAAAGTACAATTATTAAACAACATATTATAGAATAGCACAGTAAAGACTAGATCTCAGTTTTTCAGTCCCATTGAAACTCTTAGCTGATTCGATTTCTTTAGGAAGATAGTGGTGACTAGAAAGTACTTAAATTTTTCTAATATCTGGAAAACTAAGCAAGGTTCCAAACTTCCACGTGGATGGGGATATGAGTGGCTATACAGGATCTCAGTGTAGTTTTGTCCTGTTTTGAAAACAAGAAATTTGTTCCCTTATAACTTTCGATGGATTTTTTTTTTTTTTACCAAATGAAAATTAATTTAAACACCCATTTAAATTTTCCAAAATTATGAGTGAATCACCAAGGCCTCAGGGCACTATTCGGACAGGAAGAGCTCAAAAGACACATATTCCACTTCAGTGCTGTGTTTTCCATCGGTTTGCAGCTATTGATCCCAGGTCGCCAAAAGGTTCCATCGTTCTCGACTCCTGCATCTACACAGAGTCCATTTGAAGCAATCAGGACTTCAATACAATTGTGGAATTAGATCTTTGAAAATGCAATATTAAAACATAATAAATAATAAAATTTATGGTAGTGACACCGTGAATTTCACCTGTAAAAAAAGCCACGAAATTTTGCTTTAAAAATCTGCCTTGGGTGGCAAACCACCAGTGTATAAAACCCTTCCCAGGTAGAGCAGGAACACTGGTTAAATTTGTAAGAAAAAGCCAGTAGTCTTGTATCAACGGTCAACTTATCCACATCTTTTCATGTTTTAGGAGTTTTAGTTCTTGTTTCTACCATGGAAGTGTTGACATGATAATCTGCATGAGGTGAGTTGACACTGAAGAACAACTTACAATAAATTACAAATGTTCTTCTTCACACATGAAACATTGTGATATGTGCAGGAAGAAATGTCTTCAAAGACATCTGTGTTTCTCTCTGATTTTTACAATATTTAAGTAATTTTCAAATACACTAATTGAAGTCCAGGATTCCCACTTCAAAAAACAAAAATTGGACAATACAAGTGTGTGTATTATATTAAAAAAAAAATGGTTTCTGCCAAATTTGTTAGAACATTCTTTCTAAAATAGTTCTTCCCATTAAGCAGTCAGGTCCACTGTGCTCAGTGATAGATTGAGTCATTACAACTGCATGAATTTAAAAGTCAGAACTAGTCTGAAGTAGAGCAACAGGAAAATTTCCAACAGTGTATGCTGTGATAAAAGGGGGAAATAAAAAGTATGGCTATGCCTCTGCAGAGAAAGAGAAAAATCACAAGAGCTCTCCTCTCTAAAAAACACAGCAGTGACCAAATATTCAGAGTCAGCCTTTCGAAACAAATGGTATGTTTTCACCCAGTAAAGAACTCTCATAGTGAAGCAAGGAGGGGAGATCCATTCACAGCATCAGTCCCCGTTAGGAGGTGGCAGGTCCTTCCCTCACTGCAAGTCTGGGCTGTAACTGCTCATGAATGGGACAAGGACAAACCTGTTCAAGCACTCTCCCTCCGTCCCAGGCCATGTCAGCATAAGTCATATAATGTAAACTGTCGTGCTTGATTTTACAACAAAGCAGAGCTGAGCGGTGTTTTTAGGGAAGGCACCAGATTCAGATGAGAAGTAACTCAGAACATAATGAATAAAAGACATCTAGAAGCAGGTCCATACACAGATGAGATACATCAGAAGGAAGATGTGAAGTGAACAAGAAAGAAACCAGGACAGGTCGGCAAGATCCTTGGACAAAGCAGGAGGATCTCCAGTTGATATGCTTGAGTAGAGATTGCAGAGATTTGGGGAGATTCAGGAGAGAATGGAGTCATTGAAAGCCAAGACAGACAAAAATAAGAAAAAAGGGATCACAGGCAGAGCTGATGTGACCGACAAATGACAAAAAACAATGATGAAACATTTGCATTAGTAGTTGGTGGCAAGGAGTCGTTAGGATCAGTTTAAAGGGAGGGGAAAGCACAGATGGAAAGGGTTTTCACAGGGACAGAGAAGCAGACTTCTAGACAACATGTGTAAAAAGAGCTGTCAGAGAATGAGGTTCA